TTATAAAAAAACTAATTACAGTTTGACCAAAGGTGGATGAATCATTAAGTACCGAATCACGTGAGCGAGATTCAGGATTACTTGGTTACTGAACCTCTAAAACAACTGTTAATCAGTCCACAAACTATATGCAGACCAGGTGAAAGAAACTCACCTTCGATGCATCAACTCTACACTGGCACCTTTCACAGAAGTACTGGTTATCACCACACAATCTCTCCGTCTGTGTGTGTGCTCTTAATGATTCTTCTACAGAGTCGCAGTCGCTCACTGACAGATTTACGTCCAGAAAGTCATCCTGTTTAAGTTTGTGCGTTAGTCAAACAAGGCCTGATGCGAACCCACCTACATTTCGTTCGCTGACACGACCACAGACTAGACACTTGATCTAAAGAAAAGTGCGTATTATACACGATCAAAGATAGACAATTGCAAACTCTTGTCCGTAAAACTCCATGATAGAGGTCATTGATAAGGTTCTGTTGTCCGGTATTTTTGAGAGCAATTTCTATTTGTTCAAACAGCAGGCGATTCAATTCCTGAATGTCTTGGTGTACAAAAACCTGTATGCTTAAGTGAAAGGTGACAATGTATAAAAGTACTTCTTCCCCATTCCAACCGAAACTGTCAGTTAGGGGTTTGGAAGACACTGCTTCTCCCCTTCCAGCGTGAAGTCGGGAGAAAAGAATCAGCAGCTCCTGGATAATCTAGACAAAACAGACGATCAGTCATCCCAAGAGTTACGCGTTTGAGCTTGGAAACCGAAACCTGTCGGGCCATTGCAAAAAGACGATCTGCCATCAGAAAGAGGAAAAAGAACTTAATCCACTTCATTTAAAAATTTCTTATGGAGTTTTCTGAAAAAAATGTGACCAAATACAAAGATGTAAAGTACTTGGGGGTCCGGCATGACCTAAATAACAAAAAGTCATCCAGCGTGGTGCTAACTATAAGGACCTCCTTTGCATGTACTTAGCTCAGGAGGACGCGTGGAAAATTGAAATTTGTATAAAAAATATCGTCCTGATCCAATACATTGCTTGCTGCTCACATTGACTGCGTGGTTTATTACCAGAAATATAGCCTCGTAATGGCCCTGTATAGTCACGCCACACTTGAGGTCACGTGATGACAGTCTCCGTGGCCCGTGGGACAGCCAATCACAGGTGCCGCAAACTGCGTAAATGCTCGGTCGCTCATGGTGGCTAACGTGCGCACACGCTTCCGCCTGCCTCCCCGGTCTGG